CTCCTCCTCCTCCTCCTCCTCCTCCTCCTCCTTCTTCCCACTGGACAGCGCCAAATCCATCCAGTTCACCTGTGAGTGGCTTCCAATGCCGTCTCTTTCCTTATGTGGAGTTTTCGGGAGCCTGCGGTTCTCTCCAGTCCTTCCCGCGCCCTCAGACAGGGCAGCTGGTGCCAGATGCCCATGTAGCAACTATCGCAAACAGCCTGTCTACTGGCACAGGCTTTTGTGAGGAGCAAAGGATGCCGCTGTCAGAGGTGGCACGCTCCGTTGCAGGAAGTCCTGTCTTATCAGGGGCGTGCGTTTCTGCCCCAGATGTCTGGGGCTCATGCCTCTCAGGGGCAGCCACAGAGGCCACCCTTTGCTTGGATCAAGGGGGGGGGGCAACAGTAATTCTGGGCCCCTGTCCTGGACTTTTGCCCGGGGCCCCAGGATCACTACAACCGCCCCCCGTGCAGCAGGGCACACCTTAGTAGTCAAGTGGGGTTCACCCCGAAACTTGCCGTCTGCTCCCCGCTCAAGTCATGGAAATGTGTGTGGGTGAGGGGCCTCACGGACCAAACCAGCCCCCCCCCCCGCATTCAAAAAGGCCTTTTAGCTGGGAAGGTATCGGCACATCCCCCTGAAGAAAATGGCTGCTTTGGAAGGTGGATTCTATGGCATTCTACCCTCCTGAGCTCCCTCCCTGCCCCCAACCCCTGCTCTCCCCAGGATCCGCCCCCCAAGTCTCTAGGAATTACGGAACCTACAGTTGGCAACCCTAACTGAGAGTGATGGTCTCCTTTGCCCTGACACCGTTCTGTATCTTTCAGAGACCCTTTCGAAGGCCCCCCCCCATGGCTTTACCTGGTCTTCCATGGCCTCCCTTAAGGCGGACTCGACCTGACTGTCAAAGAGATTGTACAACCAGCTGTGGAAAGAAAGGAAACAGGTTATGAGGACAGGTTAAAGCGCTCAGGGCTCTTCAGCTTGGAGAAACGACGGCTGAGGGGTGACCTGATCGAGGTTTGTAAGATGATGCATGGGATAGAGCAGTTGAAGAAAGAAGTACTTTTCTCCCTTTCTCACCATACAAGAACTCCTTGTGGGCACTCAATGAAATTGCTGAGCAGTCAGGTTAGAACGGATAAAAGGAAGTCCTTCTTCACCCAAAGAGTGATGAACATGTGGAATTCCCTGCCACAGGAGGTGGTGGCAGCTACAAGCATGGACGGCTTCAAAAGGGAATGAGATAAGCATATGGAGCAGAGGTCCATCAGTGGCTATTAGCCACAAGGTATAGATAGGGGGGGCAAGTGATGCTCTGTCTTCTTGGTGCTTGGGGGGGGGGGGGCAACAGTGGGAGGGCTTCTGGAGTTCTGGCCCCGCTGGTGAATCTCCTGATGGCATCTGGTATTTCTGGCTGCTGTGTGACAGAGGGTTGGAGTGGATGGGCCATTGGCCAGATCCCACATTGGTTTCTCTTATGTGCTTATGTTCTAAGAATACGTATTGGGGGGGGGAGAGACAGATCACAGCTCAGCAGTCCAAAGAAGGTGCACCCCTCCCTTGAGACACTGCCCACGAAGATCAGCTTGATTGGTTTAAAACATTTATCCGCTGCTTCTCTTCTGTAAGGAGCTCACGGCATATAACCACATTCGCAAAATACATAACACAGGAGTGCATAAAAATACATAAAACCAACATTTAAAGTCCGCTTTAATCAGACACAGTCCTAAATAAGACCACCTTCAGCTGCCTCCTGAAGATGGACAGTTGAGGGGCCAGGCACACCTCCCTGGGGAGGTTGTTCCGTAAGTGAGGAGCGGCCACCAAAAAGGCCCTGTGTACCCACCAGTTCAAGTTCACCTTTACTGGCATAACTTGTCGATGAAGATTATACCATTTAAGAGCAGATTAAAAACACTTATAAAAATATTGTGTATCTAGATTGTACAATTTAGGAGCAGGTTAAAACGCACCTATGAAAATACTCTGGGATCCTTTGGCACAGCTTTAAAGCAGAGTGGAGAAACGTGGCCACTTTCTCAGTGATGTCAGAATAGAAGTCATTTAAAAGCCGGTGTACCTTAAGTGCACCAGGGCAATCTATCATCCTACTTAAAGTAGAATGTAAATATATATACCTTAGATCCACATACAGGTGACAATGCAGAAGGACATAAGCAATTGTCTCAACACATTTTTTTTGCAGGGGCAGTATCTGGCTGAGTGATATACTATAAAAGCGTATTCTGAAAATGAGAGCATTGCGTTCTTGCTATCAGACACCGACGAATTCGTATCCCGATAGAGTCTCCCTCTTTGCCCTTGTGGCCAAAAGGATTAGAGCCAGGGCGGCACCGTAGGGGCAACTCTTAGAGAGCCAGTTTGGTGTCGTGGTTAAGTGCGCAGACTCTAATCTAGGAGAACCAGGTTTGATTCCCCACTCCTCCACTTGCACCTGCTGGATGACCTTGGGCAAGCTGTAGTTCTGGCAAGAGCTGTCCTTGAAAAAAAGCAGTTTCTGTCAAGAGCTCTCTCAGCCCCACCTACCTCACAGGGTGTCTGTTGTGGGGAGGGGAAGGGAAAGGAGTTTGTTTGTAAGTCACTCTGAGACACCTTTGGGTAGTGAAGGGCGGGGTATAAATCCCATCTCCTCCTCTTAGCCAGTTTGGTGTCGTGGTTAAGTGCATGGACTCTAATCTGGGAGAACCGGGTTTGATTCCCCACTCCTCCTCCACTTGCACCTGCTGGATGACCTTGGGCAAGCCGTAGTTCTGGCAAGAGCTGTCCTTGAAAAAGAGCAATTTCTGTCACTCAGCCCCACCGACCTCACAGGGTGTCTGTTGTGGGGAGAGGAAGGGAAAGGAGTTTGTAAGCCGCTCTGAGACACCTTTGGGTAGTGAAGGGCAGGGGTATCAATCCAATCTCTTCTCTTCTTCACTTAATAATTTGAGTTGCCCTTTTCTGCACTTTTCCCAATGCTATAATATCTTTTTTGCATAGCGATCCTTGTCTTCCTCGGTAGTCTCCCATCTGAGTACTTGTCAGAGTCGACCCTGCTTAGCTTCCATGATCTGATGAGACGGGCTACCCTGGGCCACCCAGGTCAGGGCCAGGTGGACACACGTACCTCCATGTGCCGTCAATGTGCACTTGGACATTGGAGATGTGGGTGCTGCATGCAGAGCTGTCGGCAGTGAGCCTCCCGGCAGAATCGTTGCCCAGCTTCAAGCCCACGGAGATGGAGAGACCCTTGATCTTCACGTCAAATGAGCCATGGTCGCTCCTGTTCGGAAACACCAAGGGGGGAATCAAGGATGTTCCCCGGCAGAAGAGCAGAGCTAGCTTAGCTTGGGAAACAAACAAACAACAGAGGGACACAGATCACCCACCAGGGAGTCACGTGCATCTGTTAAATCCTAGGGTTGCCAACCTCCAGGTGGTGGCTACGGACCTCCTGGGACTACCGCTGATCTCCAGCCGACCAAGATCGGTTCCCCTTGAGAAAATGGCTGCTTCGGAGCATGGTCACAATGGCATTATCCTGTACCCCCCCAAATCTCCAGGAATTTCTTAACCCTAACCTTTAAGATGGTGGAGGTCTATGAGGTACAGAGAACCACTACCAGCATCTAAAGTTATAAAGTATTTATTCAAAAGAAAATATTCACAAGCATACTTATAGCACAGCACCAGATGGAGCAAGGGATTCAAAAGAAATGCGTAAAATGCCAGTCCTCTGTCCCTCTCTTTATACATGCTCTGTCAGATGTTCCTAGTTTATGAAGTTACAGAACTCTACAGAGTCGCCTTTACCTTGAAGATTCAGCTCTGCAAGCCAGCACATGGTTAAAATGGCTGCCTCCTCCAGACCTCAGTTAAGAGTTCTGTCTGCTCCAATGGACCCAGCACCAAAGAGAGCTTCCTTCTTGTTCCCTAATTTTATCACTGCTCTTTCCCCTACCCACTGACCGGGTCAGGCCAGGTCAGAGAAGCGTTCCCTCCAATCTCCAGTTTCTTTCTTCCTGAAGCTCCTGTTCTTAGTACTTAGTTCCTCCCAATCTCTTTACTTAGTTCCTCCCAATCTCGGTTCCCTGCTTGAGGAAGGGGGGGACTTGACCGATCCATTATGTCTCCTGCTAGATCTATTAACATTTGTATGAAGGACAGCTGGAAAGCAACTGGACTGCCTTTCCCCCTTCCGGCCTGCTCTCTGGAGAAAAAACTTCTAAAACTCAGAGTGGAGCTTTTCCTCATCTCAAACCTCCAAAGAAAAAAAAGAATTTCTTCTTCACACCGAGCATGAGGGCTTCCTCAGCGCTCCACGCATTTTGCATTCTGGTAGAGTGCAAATCCAGTTAACAGGAGCAAAGCAATACTAGGCATTCTTGTAAAGTCCATTCTAGTAAAGTGCATTTTGGCATCTGATATGGCCCATCTGAGAAGATCTTATAGTCTGTTTTACGGCTCAGCTGCTCCAATTTTCAGAACATTGTATTTGTAAATGACAGAGCCATCTGTTTAAAACAGTTTTAATTATTTATTTCTCATATCGTTTGAATTGTTATTCAGATGGCTGTTGCGGTCCACCCTGAGCCCACTTGCGGGGAAGGTGGAATATAGAGCTGAAGAAATATTTTAAAAATTCTGGTAAAGTGCATTTTGCATTTTGCATTCTGGTGAAGTGCAAATCCCATTAACAGAAGCAAAGTAATACCAGACAGTGCACAACTACACTAAAATACATGATAGTCCCGAGGCATGTTAAAGACTGACAAAGCATCAGCTTTCGTGGACAAGAGCCCACTGTGGAGCTATGCCTCCCTGTGGAGCTATGCCCCCCTGCGTGGTGCACTGCAGTAACTTCCCATGTGGAAAAGACCACCCAGTGACAGTGAAATCTGCAGCCGTGTGCGGATGTGGCCTGACAGCACAAAACAGTGAGATGGCCACCTACGATCAACTATTACTATGAGCCACTTTGAATCTATTTTCCACTTTTGAACTATGGTGCTGGAGAAGAGTCTTGAGAGTCCCTTGGACTGCCAGGAGATCAAATCAGTCAGTCCTAAAAGAAATCAACCCTGACTGTTCCCTGGAAGGCCAGATAATGAAACTGAAGCTCAAAGACTTTGGCCACCCAATGAGAAGGGAGCCCTCACTGGAGAAGACCCTCATGCTGGGAAAGACTGAAGGTCAAAGAAGACGGGGAAGGCAAAGGATGAGATGGTTGGACAGTGTCATAGATGCAACGAACATGAAGCTGAGCAAACTTCAGAGGACGTGATCTTGTCCATGGGGTCGCGAAGAGTTGGACTCAACTGTGCGACTGAACAACAACAACAAAACTTTGAATCACAAAGAAATGTGGGATATAAATGCTTTAATATATAAATAAACCTGGTGGCTGTGAGCCATGACAAGAAGAAGAAGATGACATTGGATTTATACCCCGCCCTTCACTACCCAACGGTGTCTCAGAGCGGCTCACAATCTCCTTTCCCTCCCCCTCCCCACAACAGACACCCTTTGAGGTGGGTGGGGCTGAGAGACCTCTTAACAGAAACCAATTTCAAGAACAGCTGTGACAGAACTACGGCTTGCCCAAGGTCATCCAGCAGGTGCAAGTGGAGGAGGAGTGGGGAATCAAACCCGGTTCTCCCAGATTAGCATCCACACACTTAACCACGACACCAAACTGGCTCTCCTTCCCTCTGCTCCTCTGGATGTTGAGAATGAAGCGGAAGGGATGCCAATGGCCACCCCACAGCTCGACACTATGCTTAGACGGTGAGAGTCTGACCCAGGAGGGCCAATCTCATGTTGGTGTGCAAGGGCGGCTTCTGCCAGCGATCCCCTAGGCTCAGTGACTGTGAACATTAGAAAGGACGGGAAGTGACAACGGACTTACGCCATCCAGTTCTTCCACTGCCACTCCCCCGAGACCTCGGCGAAGGCATTGGTGACGGAGACTTTGAGGCCCACGCTTGGGACGGGTGCGATTGTGGAACTCAGCAGCTGGAACGACTCGATTTTCAAACTTCAAAAAAAGAGAAGGTGGTTGGTGTGGAGAGGCAGCTCAGAAGTTGGGGTCCAGGCGGGAGTGTCCTGACCCATGTTGGGACCGCCTCCCCCACACCCTGTGCCTCGCAAGCCTCCGGCTTCTTTCGGAGGGACTGCCCAACAGGGGCCATACAAGCTGACCAGAGGCCACCTCTCGCTGAAGCAGGGGCCCCCGGACCTTTTCAAACATTTGTGGGAACGCAACAGTGGATGCAAACACAAAATGGTCACCAGAAGAGGTGGAGCCACACAAGGTAAAGGTTTCCCTTTGCTCAAAAGCCAGTCGAATCCGACTCTAGGGATGCGGTGCTCATCTGTGTTTCCAAGCTGAAGAGCCAGCGCTGTCCGATGACATTTCCGTCGCCATGTGGCCGGCATGACTAGATGCCGAGGCGCACGGAATGCTTTCACCTTCCCACTGAGGCGGTACCTATTTATCTACTTGCAGTTTCTTGCTTTCGAACTGCTAGGTTGGCAGGAGCTGGGGCCAGAGACGGGAGCTCGCTCCGCCATGCAGCACTCAGGTCTCGAACTGCCGAACTACCGACCTTCCAGACTGCAGTTCAGCATCTTAACCACTGAACAACATCTACACAAAAAGAAACTCATATGGAAGCCATCAGAACAGCCTGTGCCAGCTGCATAAGGCTAGATCTACGGGCTGACCGCTGGGACGCTATACTGAAGGTAAGCCACCATCTTTTAAAATCTTTTAAAATGTCTTTATTTATCAGCAACATCAGTATTAGCACCTTTTAATGTTAGAATGTTTTATATGGTTTTAGCATTATTTAAACTGTCTATTGCAGGGGTGTCAAACTCATTCGTTATGAGGGCCGGATCTGACATAAATGAGACTTTGTTGGGCCAGGCCGGGCGTGTCATAAGATGTAATGCCAGGTAGTGGAGATATACACTTTATAAGGGACACAAACAAAAAAGGTTTTTTAAAAAAACTTAAAATGAAAACTTGCTTAAAACATGAGCGCTCTTGCAATATTTTGTTTATTTAACAGTGTCCGATAACGGACACCTCTTGCTCTGAATTATTGCATAAAAATGTCTGTGCTGTTGCATTCTTGAGTCTGCTGTTCAGGTGTGTATCTGTAAGCTGCAAACCTACAATGACGCAGCGGTAGCAGAACTGGAAGAAGCAGCAGAAGACGGCCAGGTCCACTGCGGGCCTGAGAGAAGCCCTCCGGGCCTCATGTTGGACACCCCTGGTCTATTGTGTGTTTTATTCTTTCTGTAAGCTGCCCTGAGCCGTCTCTGGCTGGCAGGGCGAGGTACAACTCTGATAATAAATAAATAAATCAAACTTTGGCACGAGTACTTTATTTATTTAAAACATTTGTCTGCTATACCCTTTGCTTGCAAATGTTGGTATGAACGTGCTTGGTAAACAACATAACTGACTATACAATGTTACACGGAGTAATCATATCACGGTTGTTATTTTGGTTGTTCTGACTTGCCTGAGGAGGACTGGGAGGCAGGCTGTCAGTTTGGGGACTGAATCGATCAAACGAAGGGATCCCCTTTGCTTTCAGCCCGTGGGCCTCCCACCCGACCTGTGCTCCGCATGAATTCCGGTCGCAGTGGCCTCACCTGTGGAACCGGTACTCTATGTTGCCCAAAACGAGGGCCTCAAAGGACCCAGAGAAATTGGGCAGCTTGACCCTGGCCAGCTCCCTCTGCAAGACTGCAACGCCCTCCTGGCGAGCTGAATTGAAAGCAAAGAGAAAAACCACGGACATCAGAGGCCGTCGTCCTCCCAGGAGGAAGTGACGGTTACTGAGCCTCTGGCAAGAACAGGTCCAAAGGAACAGCCCTGTTTTTAGACCAGGGGTCCCCCACATTTTGGAGCCTGCAGGCACCCGTGGAATTCTGTCCTGGTGTGGTGGGCGCAGCCACAAAACAGCTGCCACAACACGGCTGCGGCAGAACCACCCACAAAACGCCAGCCGCAGCTTCCCTTGAGTCACATAGTGAAGATGTTTGCGTTGTGCTGCCAAAGCGACATCTTTAATGATCTACACAACCAATCAAACCTCCAGTGACCACTCAGAAGACACACTTGGCCCACCCGCTTTCTAAAAACACCAGGAAAAGTGTTGGCAGGGGCCATCGCGCTTACTCCACCTCAGTTTCAGCAGCTCAGATTTAGCAAAGTGCTTTTAACCCCCAAACTCTCGTTGCGGATCGCCAAAGAACCCGCCTGCCATGCAATTCCCTGGCTGCCGGTTGGGCAGTAGAGTGGGAACAGAATACCTACCATAATCCAAGCCTTTGCCTGTGATCCTGCCCACAATGCCGGGGTTGGTGCCCTCAACCAGCATGAGAGAAAGGGAGACCAGCAGGGCTGTCCATAGCGTGTTCCCTTGGGCCATCCTGGCAGCTTCCAGGGAGGTAGAGAGTGGGGCCCAGCTGCTTTCAGCCTGTCGAAAAGGGAAGCAGTGGGAGGAAGCAGGAAGCCCTGGTCCTATTTCTGCCACGGGGGTTCCCCTCCTCGGTTGCAAAACATGGCCCTGACATGTCAGCTGGGCCCACCTCGAGGCCGCTGCTTGCAACAAACACAACATTCTCAGGGTTTCGATTTCAAGAAGAGAACTGCGGGAGGGGTCCAGCCTGTCAAGCAAAGCTATGTCTGGGGCTTTAGTGTTTATTGTTTTAATGTTGCTGGTTTGGGTGCCAGTTTGGTGTCGTGGTTAAGTGCGCGGACTCTAAACTGGGAGAACCAGATTTGACTCCCCACTGCTCCACTCGCAGCTGGCTGGATGACCTTGGGCAAGCCGTAGTTCTGATAAGAGCTGTCCTTGAAAAAGAGCCATTTCTCTCAGAGCTCTCTCAGCCCAGCCTGCCTCACAGGGTGTCTGTTGTGGGGAGGGGGAGGGAAAGGAGATTGTAAACCGCTCTGAGACACCTTTGGGTAGTGAAGGGCGGGGTATGAATCTAATCTCTTCTTCTTTATATCTGTTGTAGGCTGTTTTCTTCTGTTTCCATTGTACGCCACTTGAGTATATTTGAAGAAATACTTGAAACAATAATACAGAAGTAAATGACGTCTATACCATAAATTTGGGACTCCTTCCAAAGAAAGCCAGTTTAGTCACTTAACCTGAAGCATGGTAGAATTTTTCTGGATCAGGGACTTTGTGGTACCTGTGTCATCTTTCTTTCTTTCTTTCTTTCTTTCTTTCTTTCTTTCTTTCTTTCTTTCTTTCTTTCTTTCTTTCTTTCTCTCTCTCTCTCTCTCTCTCTCTCTCTCTCTCTCTCTCTCTCTCCTTTCAGTTTCTTTCTTTCTTTCTTTCTTTCTTTCTTTCTTTCTTTCTTTCTTTCTTTCTTTCTTTCCTTCTTTCTTTCTCTCTCTCCCCCTCCTTTCAGTTTCTCTCTTTCTCTATCACTCTCTTTCTCTCCTTTCAGTTTTTTTTCTTTCTCTCTTTCTCTCCCTCTCTCCTTTCAATTTCTCTCTCTCTCCTTTCAATCTCTCTCTCTTTCTCTCTCTCCTTTCAGTTTCTCTCTCTCTCTCCTTTCAGTTTCTTTCTTTCTTTCGGAAAAGAGCAGCAAGAAAGAGGGGAGGAGAGGCGGGGCGGAGGGGCTGCCTGGTCTCTTGCTGCCTTGGGTGGACCCCACAGAGCAAATCCCCCCCCCCGGCTGGTCTGCAGGGAATGAGATGCTCAAAAGCTGGACCTTATTGCAGACATTGCACAACATAGCCTCTTTTTTCACACACACAGTCACACACACACACAAGCATGCTCCCGTACTGCAGGTGTGGTTCGAAGCGGGGGTGGTGGTGTATATTTTGCCGTCATTAATGATATGCAGAATGAAGGTTGTAGGCTAGCAAGTGAGAAGAGAAGGAGCCCGGGGTCGCCCAGGAGGGTCGCTGGCCTCCAGGGGCGGCCTGAATACCGTTGCCGACTCAGAGTGGGAAAATTCCAGGAAATTTGGGGGACGGGCTGTAGCATGGGAAGGGGAGTGAGTGAGGAGCTGAGGACCCTCAAGAAAGCATAATGACAGAGTCCACCTTGCAAAGCAGCCATTGTCTCCATAAGAACATAAGAGGATTCAGTGTTGCCTCAGGCCAAAGGCCCATCCTGTCCAACACTCTGTGTCACACAGTGGCCAAAAAGAGCAGGGGCCATCAGGAGGTCTAGCAGTGGGGCCTAGACTCCAGGAGCCCTCCCACTCTTGCCCCCCCAAGCACCAAGAATACAGAGCATCACTTTCCCCAGCCTGAGAGTTCCTGTCTATGCCTTGTAGCTAATAGCCACTGATGGACCTCTGCTCCAGATGTTTATCCAATTCCCTCTTATAAGAACATAAGAGACGCCAATGTTGGATCAGGCCGATGGCCCATCTAGCCCAACACTCAGCAATTTCATGGAGTGCCCACAAGGAGTTCTTGTATTGTGAGAAAGGGAGAAAAGGACCTCTTTCTCTTCCTTATCTACCCCACGGATAATTTTGTGAAACCTCTATCAGGCCACCCTCAATCCTCGTCCCGTCAAGCTACAGAGCCCTAACCTCTTTAGCCCTTCTTCGTAGGGAAGACGTTCCATCTCCTTAATTGGTTTACTGGCCCTTTTCTCCGTTTTCCCCAAAGCTGTCCTGTCTTTTTTGAGGTGCGGTGACCAGAACTGTACACAGTATTCCCGAAGAGGCTGCGCCCTCGATTTCACAGGGTCCTGTTTCTGCTTTAAAATCGCAGCACATGCTAAGTACGGTACCAGACCTCTCAACAGTGTAATCGGTCAAGGGCAAGGGAGAAGGGAAACGGAGTGGCAGCTGTGTGGCAAAGATAGTGAAGGGGAAGACGGCTGGGATGTCCTGAGGGCCCCTGGTCTTTTTGGCCACTGTGTGACACAGAAGAGTGCTGGACTGGATGGGCCACTGGCCTGATCCAGCCCTGGCTTCTCTTATGTTCTTATAAGAGGGAACTGGAGAAACATATGGAGCAGAGGTCCATCTGTGGCTCTTAGCCATCAGGTATAGATAAACATTCTCAGTCTGGGGCAGGTGATGCTCTGTCTTCTTGGTGCTTGGGGGGGGGGGGAAACAGGGGGATGATCCAGCACTGGCTTCTCTTATGACATTGGTGGCCTGGATCTTAATATCAGTACTGATGATCAGAATTAGTTGTTGCTCGGTATATTATGGTTTTACTGTTTTAATTGTCATTTTAATTATTGTTTTAA